CTTGAGATTCAAGATCCTTTTCCCTCAAAACAGAAAAAGTGTTACATGCAAGTGCTGTGGTTGCAATGAGTTGTGTTAGGATTGAGTAATGGAAAATATCTGAATTTTTTATTTACTCTTTCCATAATTTGCTTTTTGTTTTTCCCATCTTTTCCTTCTTTTTCCTCTCTTTTATGTTATCAATATTTACATTTTCAATGTTCAATTTACTTGGATTTTCCGAAATATTTTTTCTGATTTTACGAAGGACCCAAAACATTAATTTATTTAGATCTGCCAAATATCTTTTCTAATTTTCCTCATTGAATGCGCATTCCTGGTCATATCTCGAGGCATCTTCTTCTTAATGGGAAGGGCTTCCCATTCTTATTTTGAATCTTCTTAATGTCATTTCATGAGGGTGAGATTTGCATTAGGATAACGTTAAATGTGATTCCGAGTTTCTTTTCTTTAATTTTCTTTTATTTGTTTAAAATATTATTGGTTTATGTTCTAACAATCTAAAGTAAATCTGTATACCAGATTTTAATTAAGAATCTCACATGGAACTAACTCTCAATTAAAATTTAATTGCAAATATTATCATTATATTTGATTGATTAGCTAATTGATGTATTATCATTAAAAAAATTGGATTAGTTTATAACGAAATTGTGCATTGTTTTATAGATTTTGTTATTAATTTGCATTGCAATTTACATATATTCATTTGTTAATATTCTGCTAATTGTTAGATTTTGTAATAGTTATTAGGTTTGTATGCAGCACACTTTGATAATTGTTTATGCATTTAGTTAAGCAAATTAAAAAAAATTCATTCATAAACTGACAAGAGAAACCCAGAAATTTATTTTTACATTTTTAGTAATGATCACGAATTTTACTATTTTTTGGTAATTCTGGTTTAGAAATTATTCCAAAAGTCAAATACAAGTCATCTTGTTCTCTTTAACTTTACTATACCAACTTGGATATTTAGTTAATTTTTAAATGATATTTTGAAGACCTCCAAATTATAAATTTTGGGAATTTTCCTTTTCTTAAGAAAATTTAAACTCCGAAATTATTGTAAAAATAGAATTTTAAGTCTTGAATTTTTGAAATTCAAATCTGTTTGTTGAAATAAAAGGAAAAAGATATATATTTCGGATCTAAGTTCACATTCTGTGAATTAAAAAAAAAATCCGATTTTCTAAATTAAAAAGGGAAACCTTGGATTTTTTGAATTAAAAAAATTATTTCTTGTTTTGTCTTTAATACTTTCTGTTATAAAATTATTAACACTCGTGTTATTTATAAGTGTTACAAACCTATAATATAATTTTAAATTAATTCTGGTTTCTGTTTAATTAGTTACTTGAATATTTATTTGCTATTTCCTGTCTTAAGTCAAATACTTGATCCTTTATATTGGTATATGCTGGTTTCTGTTCTAAAACATACATCTGATTCCAGGTATCATACTTGAATCCTGTTTCCTGTTCTTACTTAAAAGGTCTGGTTTATAAAAGACAAATTTAGAGTTTCATCCACATCGTTTTAGATTTTATGGTTGGGTCCCAATATATATTAAAGAAAAAAAAACTAAAATATTCATTGACTCCTTCTATCATTTCTTTTTTCATTTTTCCTTTCCTTTCCTTCTTCCTTTTTCTTATTGATGTACTTTTTCAACATGCAATATATGTTTGAGCATTCGGGTCACAAAGGACCCCCATGATACAGATCTTTCCTGTCATCAGAAATTCTTTTCCTCTTTTCTCTTCATTCTATCATCCTTCGACTCACGAAAAGGTTTTCCTAATCCTATCTTGGGGCATCTTCTCAACACCATCCTATATGAGGGCGAGATTTTTTGCCCTACGACAACATCAAATGTGATTCTGATTTTTTTATCACTTTTTTATTTATTTAAAATATTATTGGTTCATGTTCTAACAAGTTCATTGTCTTATGTGACATTTTTCTTCATATATCTTCCATTTAACTTTTTGGCATATTATTTTCATGAATTTCTTCATTCTGCTTATTTTATCTGATGATAACTTCTTATATGCATGTTTACAGTGAAATATAAAGCATCATCCAAATGGTCTCGCAGGAGTTCACTGTTGACTTGAATAAGCCTCTCGTATTTCAGGTGCATGTCAGATTTTTTGCTTGGTTTCCATTTTATACCATCATATGTGAGACGTAGATTCTTCTTTGCTTGCCTGCTGTTAGTTCTGCTTAATACATATTAATTAAAGTGAGAATGAGCTAACTACAAAACTTAAGCATTGTTTGATTTGTTAATTTACTAGTCAGTTGAAGAAGAACAATATCCTAAGTAGATATATGGCGTTAACCGGTAAGCCAATAGCAGCTAATGTTTTTTTCGGTCTTATATTTGATATGGATCTTGAAACTTTTTAATTTCGCCCCATATTTCTCTTCCCTAGGTTGCAAAGCTTCACGCCAATGTTTTCTGCTTAAATTCATTCATAAAGTATATGTTGTCACTTTGCATTTACTGTTACATAATTTTGTAACTTTGTATTTGCTGGTGTCAACTGCTCATCAACTAAACTGTTCCAATTTATTTGAGGTGGGTCATCTTGGAGAAGCTTACCAAGAATGGGTTCACCAGCCTATAGTTAGCAAGGAAGGCCCACGATTTTTCGCAAATGACTTCTTGGAGGTAATGCATCGGTGGTACCTTAGCCAGCACAGATAATTTGTTTGATATATTTGTAATTGCATGCTTTTGTGTTTATCAGTTCTTAACGCGAACGGTATGGTGGGCGGTTCCAACAATATGGCTGCCAGTTGTTTGTTGGTGCCTGAGCATGTCTATCCAAAGGGGCAATACACTCCCTCGGTTAGCTCTGATGGCAGCCGCTGGAATATTTCTGTGGACCTTGATCGAATATACTTTGCATCGCTTCCTTTTTCACATCAAAACTAAGAGTTATTGGTAGGTGACTGTTTCTTTGGTCTTTGTGTAAGAATTGCATCTTTTAGTCGAAGTAAAGTGAAATCCAGTTGCATGTTAACTTATCTATGGCTACAATGTTACAGGGGAAACACTGCTCATTACCTTCTTCATGGTTGCCATCACAAACATCCCATGGATGGACTACGGCTAGTCTTTCCCCCTGCTGCCGCAGCTATCTTATGTGTACCAGTAAGGCTACTAAGAATCTCAAAATATCTGCTTTTATTATTTCCGTATTCATGGACATGGCATGTGTATGCTTTTCAATCTGAAACAGACATCTCTTGACGTGCACTCTAATGCTCTTAACCATTTAGGTTAGACTCTAGGATCTGATATTGTTACAATAATTTTTACTTTTTGAAATTACTAGCCAGGGTCTATCATGTATTGGGAGCTAATAGGTATCGTAATGTTTTTCCAGTTCTGGAATCTGGTTAAACTAATTGCCACTCCATCATCTGCTCCTGCCTTGTTCGGAGGTGGCCTATTGGGTTATGTTATATATGACTGCACTCACTACTACCTGCACCATGGACAACCATCCAAAGAGCCAGCTAAGAATCTGAAGGTGAGGATGAGAATATCTAAAAGAGCAATTACTCGTTTTCTTTGTTCTAACAAACACCTCCTTGTGCACATTCCAGCGATACCATCTGAACCATCACTTCAGAATTCAAAACAAGGGGTTTGGAATAACTTCTTCACTCTGGGACATTGTCTTTGGCACATTGCCCCCATCAAAATCCTCTTCTCAAAGCAATTGATTATTTCGCACCACCGAGGAAGGTCCAGTTCCAGAACCTCATGCTGCTTTAGACTTGTATATCATCATCACTGGGGTTCTTATCATCGATTATTTCTTCTAAAACTAGTTTACCTTCTGACCTTGCAGATTTTTATAATATTTGGCTGGGTGTGTCTCATTTGATCCTTCTCCAAACGTCCATATAAACGATGCTTCTTTTCGTTCTTACAATGGAGAGTATTTATGTGATCAAGACATCCACCTATTCTTGTCTTCAACACTATACTGTCTATTAGGCTTCAACACTCTACATTTTCTAGTCTAATTCATCAGGTGTACAATTGCCTCATTGTAGTTTGCAGGTTTCTATCAACCATCTCAGTCAGAGACAATTGCGACAAAGCTAGTAACAAAATCTCTTCCTTGCTGCTACTCTTCACTGAAATTTTGTTCTATAAATTTTCTGCTTATTGTTCATTCCTTTTCTACATAGATGATGTATCACCGTTCACTCAATGAGGTAATTAATCCCTTAAATTTGATACAAGTGCGAGTGATGTCTTCTCTGATTTGAAAAGTTTATTTTGAGATCATTTGATCAAAATATCTAAGTCAAAGCCATTTATAATCGATGTACTTGTTATAGATTAACATAAATTTTCTTCATGAAATGGAGGTGTAATGTTCTGCATAAACATTGAAAAATGCTCAATGAGTGTTGTGATTTGATTGCCTTTTTTCAACACTGGCAATCACTCTGTAGCATCAAACATTGTTCACTGTGCTGTGTCATTATCATAGGAGCCTCTTTCAAGCCCATGTTGTGTGTTCATAAAAGTTGATCTCAGTGTATCAAGTGTCGGTACAAAGAGAGAGAAGAAATGTTATATGCATGCTGTACAAGTATCCATGCAAATTAATCTTTTTCCCTATGTGAATTATATGTAGATGTGTCATTAAATTTACTGCTTACGTGAGATTTTAGTCAAATTACATGATCTCATTATTACCGGTAGTTTACGTGACAAAGACATGCATCTTTTCCACTATTAAACTCTATTGATGATAATATTTGTAGTGCTAATCATTTAATTTGATAGTAATTAACACAATTTAATCCGATCGTTATCTATCTTAAACTACAAGCTTAATCTAATACGCAATGCGTTTGTCCGCCCCATCGCTTAGGTGGGACCCGCAAACGCGGCAACCTCGCTTTTGGTTCCTGAGAGTCCAGTCAGCCAGGAAACGCTTCCGCGGTGATTCAGCCACCCATAGAGGATTAAAACCGCCGCAGTACCCGTGAGCATCTTAGCCGACGTTTCCCCCCTTCTCGCGTCGGCTCCGTCTGTCTGTCTCTCTCTCTCTCTCACACACACACACACGCACGCACGCACGCAGAGTTCGGAGGCTCCGACGCCTCGATTTCCTGCCGCCTGGATTTGGAATCGATGAATTACTAATGCTCCAGTCAGATCGTTGTCAAAGTCCAGTTCCCGAGCGTCGGATCCGCTGATCTAGGTAATTTTGCTTGCGAATCCCCAAATCTGGATTTTGTGAGGCCTGGTCGTGGAAGTGGCGATTGATCGAGAAAGCGAAAGCTTTGAGGTTGTCTGATGATAAAAAGCTCCCTTTTCGGGACATCTGAAGCCTTCTCGGGGTCATTTGGGAACAGGGACGGGTGATCGAAGCGTCCGGAGATGCAGGCAGATCGGGTCCGAAGGACCTCTCACCTCTTCTCGGATGATTTGCTGGATACGGCTGCTACGATCCCCATATCCTCGTCCGCGACTTCTTTAGCTTCGTCGTCTTCTTCAGATTCCCTTCCCAGAGTTAACTATATCGAGCATCGCGTGTCGAAGATGGACACGCTTCCTGGTGTTGCCATAAAGTATGGCGTCGAGGTACTTAGCAGCCAGTGCTTAGTTCTTTATCTTTACACTCTAGAAAGTGTTAAGAAGATTGTCATTGTTTTGCTATATGTATAGTGGTATTTGTCAGATCGGAGATGTTTACATTTTCTACTTGCTGTAGACAGCAATTTAATTAAATGAGCCTAAACACTAGTGAGGTTGTGAAAAGAGAACTGATCGATGGCCGCCGATATCATGGAGTTTTGATCAAAATAATGTATATTCACTGCTAAGCGATAATTTATTTTCCAAAATAGTATTGTCACCATTACCAGTAATTTTTATCACTAAATGTTTGGATAGTTTGTATAGAGCAAAACATGTATTACTTTCTATCGCAATTTGGTACTGATATGCAGAAAATTTGTTTTTGATGTTTTAGGTAGCAGACATCAAGCGACTGAATGGCTTGACAACAGATATTCAGATGTTTGCTCGTAAAACATTGCAGATTCCTCTACCAGGGAGGCATCCTCCATCACCTTGTCTTTCAAATGGTTCATTTGCTAATGGGTAATTTCTTTTCTCTTGTCTATTTTTAAGATGTATTTATTTTCAGCTGATTTGTTGGCACAAGATGAATGCTGTTTGAAGCCTGTTACCATGGTTGACAATTTATGTACATAATCCATTTGTTGCATGGCATGCGTATGTTTTCCTTTCTACTTAGTTTATGAAGTTAGTTCTTGAATCATGATAACTGTTATGTAGAAGTCCTTGATTATTTATGTGGCCTGAATTGGGGAGTAATACTCCCTTCTGCTCTTCCATTTCAGTGAGTGAAGCTGTAAAGCAACTTGTTTTTGATGCACTGCATAATTGAATCTTTCCGTACATCAGTTTTTAACTGTTATCTATGATACATTTATATATGCTGACTAGAATTTCTAATTGATAATCAAATCCTTAGTGAAAAACCAAAAATCTCAACAGGTTAAGAGACATGCAGTATTTGAAGGGTTTAACTTGGGTCTAGTTTAAAAAATTTTGGTTTGAATTTAAGTTGCATCAGCTTTAGTCATATCTTTCATGTTTTCCTGAATTAGAAAACAGACACAACTCCACATCAATCTAGCTCCCTTCCCTCAAACATGAACTCAACCTCACTTCATATTCTTGAACTCCTTTTGTGCTATTTGACTTTTCCCACTTTTGTTGAATCACTCCTTAGGCTAATAGCTTTTATGGCCTTGAATCCGCACATGGGTCATGGATTTTAAAGAGCTTAAGATTCAGGAAAATCTCTCCCGATTGTAATACTAAGCTTGGGAATTCATGTAGGCAATATATTTTAATGCTTGCAGTCTGCTTTGGGCTCATGGCACCTGCAGTTTCCAATCCACCATAAACAGTCCACTGCTCTGTTAGTAGTGCATGCTTTTCACAATATTGCTTGTTTGTGCAACTCTAATAAATTTTATGTTAAAGTAAATTAGAAATTGGTCAACCTGTTCAAATGTAACCTCACATTTGCCACACTGAAAAAAGGAAAAAGAGAATAGCAAACATACATTGTGATCATATGCCCTGATTCACTTCCAGCTTTTGTTTCAATGTTCCTTATTTTGATGGGTCAATAGGTTATTTCTTGCATGCTTTTTTTTTTTGGTGTAGCAACTACATCTTTCAATGTTCCAGTAGTTTCATACATGCATCTAAAGAGATGCTAATGAATCTAATTTCTCCTGTTTTTACCTTTCTCTGGGAAATATAACTCTTGCATCCTTCTGTGTCCCTTCTGTGTCTTTATTATTTTTCCACCTAATTTCTCCCACATCACTTTTTCATTTGTCTGAAGTGTGTCTGTCTCTCTTCTCTGTCCATTTATTGTGTCTGTTCACTTTGTTTGTTTGATATCTGTAAATATAGCATTTTCACATCTTTGTCTGTCTTTTAAGAATTCATCATCATTGATAACCTCCACTTCTGATAAAGTATACCTCTGATTGTATTTATAATAGTGACCAAATTGTCACAAGTGATCTTCTCGTTTTCCTGGTGGATGCAAATTGTTTTTCTTATGGACTCCCATGCAAAAAATGCTAACTTTTAAAATGTATTAAAGATATTTATGGTTACTTGCAGGGGTAAAACTATGCATATTGACCCTCCTAGACCATATGTTTGCCGGAGCCTCATGCACTAGGTTGCCCTTAAATTCCACTTTCATTTTGTAAAGTTCAACTGCTCTTCTTTTTCTTAAAGAAATTGTTTTTGATGTCTAAACTTTTGCTGGAGTTGATTAAAAATTAGAGTTGTCTGCTGAACTATATCTCAAAAAAGTGCCTTAATTCACTTGCTGCCTCCACTTAATTTCTTATTAGCTTGGATAACTGATGGTAACTTATGAGACTGACATGGTAACTCATTAATAAGGTGCACCCGAGTGTCTACTAATATTTATGATCGTGGAGGTCTTTAATATGTTATTTATTTTTCAATGTAGTTATATATCATTGTGTGATATATCATGCTGTTGCATAATATGTCATATAATTGCATGGTCTTAGATCTTCTTTTATTATTTTAATTCCTTCATAGTATCACTGATGAAATCCTGGTGTATTTATTTTTCAATGTAGTTGTATATCATGTTATCGCATAGCATGTCATATAATTGCTTGGTCTTAGATCATCTTTTATTATTTTAATTCCTTCACAGTATCGCTGATGAAATCCTGTTTGATATAAGATATGTCTAATAGAAGTAATTGATCATTAGTTTTGCACCTTGCTCATACCATGAACATCTTGTTCGTCTTTGTTTTTAGCTTGATTTAGTGTCACAGTAAGGTTGCTACTCAACAACTTGGATGTTGAGTGTTTGAGCTTGCAATAATAAGGCCGTATGCATTACTAGTCTCATATCCATATTGGCAAAAGCCATCCACATTGGTTCATTGCTTCCTTACAAATTTTCCAATAAGCGTCTATCAAATGCATGTATCATGAAGGACTTTATATATTTGTGTGTTTTTAATTTTTAATTTTATATTGTGTCTTGATATGCTAGAAGTTATTCCAGACAACATACTTCACCGCATCGGCCTAGTAATAATGTGTTGGATTTGTTCCATTCGCTCGAGCTGAAAACCCCTCCAAGTAAGGTTTCCCCAGCAATGAGCAGCTTACAAGCATACTATGGTCTCACACCACCTAAAAAGGGTGCAGATACTGCAGAGACAGAGATGGCAGTGTATAGAAAAGGTTGCTGCTTGGCTGACGAACTTAAAGAGCCACCGTTTTCTGACCCACTTCCAGGTCGGCATCGGAAATCTATATGTTTGGCTAATGGCTTTCCACTGGGAAATGGCGAGATCACAAAGGGAAAAAATATTTTAGAGACTGCAGATAACAATGAGAGCGAGAAACCTATCCGGAGGCGTCAAAAGAATGATGCAAGCCCATCTTTAGGTGCGACAGAATTGTTGTTGGAGGATAATAGTAGTGATTTAATCTCAGTAAGGAAAGGAAAAGGCCTAGCAATGAGACCAAAACTGGGGAGCCGCACCGATATGGATATGGGTCATCCAAAAGCTAGTCCTCATGGAGACTCTGTCATGACTGATGGGTTTGTTTCAGTTAGGAAATCATCGAGCACATCAAGCTTGCAGGACTCAGAGGACCACTCGTCCATCTGGCTAACTAGCAAATGGACTTTGAATCCTGAACTTCTTGCTAGGCCACTATTCGATGGCTTGCCAAAGCCGATAATTGTACGGAAGAACAAAGCTGCTCTCGATTAATGTTTTGTTTCTTTAGTTTAGTTCAATCTTATCAGTATAACCATCATCTAACCTGGCAGCAGATCAAGTTCTATCTGCAGACCTTCAATAAAAACAAGGCTTTTGTAGTAGGCATACAGAGTAAATGAAGCAAAGGAAGCTGCACTCGTCGAGGTTGCACTCTTAGGTTTGATGTCGGGGCTGGATATTTACTAGCTGCAATTCTTTGTGGTCATCCTTATCAACATTCATATATTGTTTATTAGAGTATTGCCAGAGTATTGCCAGAGCTATTCTTTTGTATAAGCATGTACTTGAAGAGGGTATATCAGATGTTTTATGTTTTTCTTTCCTAACAATTGCTATGAAATAGACATTATTTCTAGACTGAGCCATGTTTTTTCTTGGAGGCATATGTTTTTGGCAGGAATGTGGAACATGATGATCCTGTTCTGTAGCTTTGTTCCTGATGTTTCTGGATTCTCTGAAGTGAAGTGATTTGCTCAGCCAGTAGATTTGAGCTTCCTTATGTATGCTCTTCAGTTATCATCAAATCAGCCCCTGTTATCTTGGAATTTGGTTTAGAACATGCACAAAGATCTCTCTGGCTGTTTGACCTCAACAAATTCAAGCTATCTGTTGACTAATTTTTAGTCTGGAGTGCAATTAACAGTTTGACATACTTTGAGGAGAAGAAGAAACTTAAAATGCAGATAGTGAGTCTGGAGAAGAAATTGGAGTTTTGACTTTGAAGCTGACCCATTGGTCCAAGTAAGTGTTGTAATGCATGAATACATTTATGTCAGACTTCAACACAATTACTTGTGTCCTGGAAAATTCTTCCTGATATTTCTATACAAATGATCTTTATATTTGGCTCTATTTTCCTCAAGTAAACAAGCAAATGAACTTTATATTTCATGCATGACCTCTGGACTTGAAACTCTAGTTTTGCTGAAATCCAATCAACATATACATTGATGTTTAGAAGAAAGTATGCATCATATATATCAATCAACATATGCATATACCAAATCTAGTCTCATAAAATTATGCAATCTTCTTATTATATTTTGGAGAAGAACTTACTCCCCACATTGTTGGTGTCGTTGACCAGATAGTCTTGAACTTCACTTTTCACTTTGCAGCTCAAATCTTGAGAGAGAGAGAGAGAGAGAGAGAAGAAGAAGATGATGATGATGATGAATCAAACAATGTTCGATTGATGAGCTTGTGGCTGCAGCAAAACCTGGTGCAATTTGACCCGGTGAAAGCAAGAGCAGTACACAGTTGATATAAACAAGCTGATCCAATTATTACATGCTTTTCTTGATCGTATCTATAAAGCATTGGAGGCTTGCAACGGCTGCAGAGCTCCCTTCCTCCCCCATAACTCTCTTCTTCAGCTGCAGCACACTTGCTTGTGCCTTTGCTCCCTCGTCACCTGTCATGATCCTCCCGATGCCATTCTCTATGGCATGTCGATGACAGCCATCAAGTTTGATCCCTATTCCCCACACCTTCACGATGTAGACGGCATTCACGAACTGGTCGCCGGCGATGGGGTAGCACAACAGCCTCTTCTCGTGTCGTATGGCCTCCAACGTCGAGTTCCACCCGCAGTGCGTGAGGTAGCATCCGATGGCGGGGCTCCTCAGCACCTCCTCCTGCGGCGCCCACGCCACCACCTTGCCGTAGCCCGCGACTCGATCCAGGAACCCGCGGGGGAGACCGGCCCGCCATGGCTTCTCGTCCTTGAGCACCCACAGGAACGGCTGCGCCGCAGCCTCCAGCCCCAGCGCGAACTCCGCGATCTTCTCCGGCGAGATCGGCGCCACCCAGCTCCCGAAGGACGCGTACACGACCGAGTTCGGCGGGTGCTTCTCCAGCCACTCCAGGCAGCTCTGGTCTTCGTCCCACATGCTCAGGTTGCACCGGGAGTTGCCGCGCGTCTTCTCGTCGCCGCCGTGTGCTTCCAGTGGGCCGACGGGGAGCGTCCGCGGCGCGTCGTGTTCTTGCGGTTGCGAGCTTGGAAGCGGGGGATGATGGTCTCCACGGCGACCGCCTTCCTCGGGGAAGGAGTTGACCAACAGCCATCGGACAGATTTAGCTCGCTCGATGACTCGAAGCCAGAATGCGAATCTCGACCTCTGGGAAGTAGGATTGCCCACCAGCCATGGCAGGTCGCTCGCGCTAAGCTTCGCCTGCCCTTCCAACGTCAGCTCTTGCGCCGCCTGCTCTTGCCCGTCATGTTGGCACCGAGGCTGATGCGACAGCGGACTACCTACCATCAACGGCAAAGAAGACGAGCATTAGTGCATGGTCGACATCGTAACCACAGTATCATTACGCAGGAGAACGTAGTGGTCGTACCGAATTCGGAGATGAAACCCCTGCGAATGAGCTCCGGAATGGCGGAGATGACGCGGTAGGTGGCCAGCATCGCCGTCCAGAACCCGGCGACCGGGAGGCCGCACCGCCGCGCGACCGGAATCGCCCACGAGGCCACCAGGTCCACCACCACGCAAGCGATGGCCTCGGCGTCCGGCGGCGACAGCAGGCGCTCGAGATGCGCGGGCATGTGGCTCTCCATGGCCCGCTCGATGGCCGCGAAGTCCGGAGGCGCCGCGCCGTCGTCCGCCATGAGGCCACTGGAAACAGAAGCGAACCGGATCCCATCATCGGCCCGGCCCGCGAGACGCCGGTGGATGAAGTCCGGGGCGGCCACCGTCACCTCGAATCCACGTGCATGGAGGACCCGGGCGAGGTCCAGCATGGGAGACACATGCCCCTGAGCCGGGAAGGGAACGAGCACAACCCTCGGCCGCATCCCCCACTCCTCGCTTCTGTTGCCTTCTTCCCCGTTGCGCTCGCTCTCATTTATAATTGCAGGAGCGGCGTTCGACACCCGGTTTGTTCCTTGCAGATGACGACAATACCACATCACAGCGTTCTACTTCCTTATTCTATGTGCAGCTAAAAGCCATGAAGAAGCATTCCGAGCTACTGTGGCTCCATATTGGACACGACTTTGCTGATTTGACTTCCATTTCTTTTGTGCTGATACCTAAGTCGGCAGCACATTGCCTCATGATATGGCAAGCATGCTCAAATCCCCAAACAACTTCCCTCCTAAGGCAGAGAACGAGTATTCCTGCAACTCTGATACATGAACGCATCGATTGACTTTGATTTCTTCTGTACAGATGACAAATCATGAGTACGATTGCAGCGATATATATATAGGTATGTATTTACATACATGTATTATAATACCATGGGGCAGTGTCGTACCAGCTGATTTATGATATCGAAGTCAATTGGTGGCATGAATATTGTTCTCTGTTCCGGAGGTGGTGCAGAGAATTCAGCATGTGCAAGTTCTTGTCGAGCTTGCCATCATCATCCATTTCGCCGTTCTTCCGAAGGAGATAAGACGAGGTGAAGCGTCCCCACTCCTCCCTGAAAGAGACCTGTCCCAAACAAAGGTGAGTTCCTGCAATAGTGTGGCTGAGGAGCTTCCATGGAGGTCCATGCGTGTTGCACATGTTCGAGTCACCTGCACCACTGGGGTGAGGAAAGGAGGTGCAACAGCAGGTCAAACAGAGTGTGTGGCCTCTCTTTACGATCAAAAGCAATCTGGTTCATAGCTTTTTGGTGGCAAAGTTCTTGCCTTTCCTTTTTCGCTTCTCTCTCTCTCTCTCTCTCTCTCTCTCTTCCTCT